TTAACTGTTCTTGTTCTTCTTACTCTTTCAACTACAGTCCCGACCTTTTAATTGACGGCAGACCTTGATTTCTGTTATGAATTCCGTCGAAGATTATGTCAAACATTGGGCTAAATATGAAGGAGAAGACTAGACTCTTTGTCAAAATGAATTAAGTGTTTTAGAAATAAAGTAAAGGATCGTGTTACGAAGTTTAAAGGCAATATGGGAACCATCAATCCTAGGCTTCCGTTTTCACTTAATCGGATGTGATAAAAGAATTAAAAGGACTACATGAACAATATGTTATTTTTCAAAGGCTTAAAATATTTTTTTGTTTGTCTGTAAGACTCATTATTATTTTTGTATTTTAGAAGAACTTGGATTTAATTCTACGACTCAAGGTCCAGCTTATACTCTCAGTTCACTTTCACTAGAATGAAATTCTTCAAAATCATATTTCAGTGTTTAATAGTTTTGACATTCCATTCAATCAAGGTGAATCCGATCTACCATCTGTGTACTGGATCCCCAAATTTCATAAAAATCCTCATAAAGATAATGCTGGATCCATCAAAGGCTCTACCAATCTCCTGACTTAACTCCTTACAAAAATATTAACTGCTATAAAGGAGAATCTTCAGGCATACTGTGCTACGTCATATTCTAGAACTGTTATTAATCAGATGTGAATTCTCCAAAAATCCAAGGGAGTTTTCGGAAAATTTTAAACCACCATTTTTTTTTCCTCAAAAGTCAATAATATCAAAACGTATGATTCTTTTACACTTTATACAACCATTCCTCCTTATGAAAATTTCATATCTGTAATTGGTCATCAACAAAATTACTTTTGTTAAAAATCACTCTGATTCTACCCACAAGTACTTTAAAGTTGATATTAAAAGGATGCTGGAGTTCCTCATTTACAACATTAATGTAGTCTTTGGAGACCAGTTCTTCTAACAAACTTTTTTATGGGCACTAATTGTGCACCTTTATTAGCAGGTCTGTTTATATATTCCTATGAAGCAGAATTTATTCAAAAACTTCTACATGAGAAGAAGAAAACACTTTGTGTGGCCTTCAACTCGACATTCAGATATATCGACTACGTTGTATCAATTAACTATAGTTAAGCTTTTCCATAGTCAATTTTCCTTATTTATGTTGTAATATTCCGCTATCTCCTGGATACGGTGTTTACGTCTCTACTTATTCGATACTCAAGAGCATGCTCTGAGTACAATCAATTTTTAAACCGAGGTAGGCTACTGACAGATTAGTTGATGTTAAATGAATTTCAACAACCTCGTTGAAAGTCAACATTTCGTAAAGTCTATGGCCATTATAATGACCATGGTAGCAAATATAAACTATTATCAGGTCGTATTTTGGCTGACATTTTTCATACCAATTGTTAGGCATTTGTTTTTATACTAATTTTGAATATAGAATAACCCGTCTACATGATCAAGTCTTAGGACTTACGACAGGGGATACTTACATACCCTAGGCATCTGATCCCACCTCTGAAATTTCCGGGGGTCCGTGTTTTATGCCCTGTTCATAGATTCGTATTGTTTGTAGATTTTTTGAGATCGATCAACATCATCTTCAACTTTCTTATTATTTATCATTCACCCACAATATCAAAGTTGATAAATGAAGCATGTTTACAAGAAGTGGTTGAAAGGACAAAAAATACGTCATGTTTAATTCTTTAACATTTTCTTAAAATTCATCATGGTGCTCATGTGCAGATTTTTAAAGGACATATGCAACGTTGGACAATTGCAATTTTTATCTGAAACCCATCCATAAAACCATTTTTAATATTCTTCGAAGTAAATACAAATAATTTTTCGAAAATACATTTCAAAATATGGAGATAATGTTTGGAAAGTAATTTTGTTTTTCGAGGGAGTATTCTTTAAAATTTTTGTCTGGTATTGGAATAAATGTTTGGAATCTGGAAAAGAAAGTATTTTTGAGGTTTTGAGGCCTTGATACAGGACAACAACTTTGAGGGAGAATGCTAGAACTAGAGGATGTTTAATTCAAGTGCAAAATTTTTTGCCTATATTTTGAGGGCACCTGGTGTGCAAAGGACATGCAATTGTAATTGGATGTTTTGCATTTCATTTAATGCACTTGTTAGTACATGAACAGAAAAGCTTGCCACAGAATCCCTTTGTAATTAAAATCGTAGCACTTGTGCGAAATCGGATTTGCTGGAAGCATGTTTCTTGGGAGTATACAGTGATGGAGACAAGAGACTGCATGAACACAAGCCAAAGTTCTTCGTCAATGATTCGCTATACATGTAGCATTAGCGGCTTTGTGCAGCGTCTTAGTCTGAATTGCTCTTCGTATTTTTCCCATACCATCACACACTCTTTCTGACCTTGTCGGATATCATTAATGAACTTATGAAACAAATCCTTAAAAAACCTCTTGATGAGCAAAATATGCTACAGTTACCATAAGTTGTAATAGCTTCCATTTCTCCGAATTGTTTATTTTGACACACAGGGTTTGCTAGATTCTATGTTTCAAAATAAGCCCTCCTTTTTCAGTGAAGAAGACTTTTTTGTGAATGAAAGAATTGTCAAGAAATAGAACAATCAATGTTAGCAGCATAGCGGCATATATTCCTCACAGAGCTTAATGAGATTATAATGATTCGAAAAAAATTAATGATTTGAAGGATATGCAATTAACTTAGCACAAGTTCTAAGAGAAAATGTTATTTGAACTCACTAACCAGTAGAAAGAGAACACTTGACCAGGTCCTATCTTCTATATCGTAAGCCTCTGATTTCCGATAATTCTTAACTAAAGGGGGGAATTTATCTTATAAAATAAAGACATCTTCAGGCATATAGATGGTCTCTTATTTCATAAATGCTTTCTTTAGGACAAAAAATTGGGAAATGGAAATGTGAATTTCATCTAAAGGTTCGCTTTCTTACAGTTTAAAAGATGTTAGATAAAATTTTAAGATTAAGGATCATGTTTGTAGTCTTCTGAATTTTCAAATGGTAGAAACATCGGTCTATAACTCTCCATACAACAAAACAAACTATAAACATCGGTCTATAACTCTCCATACAACAAAACAAACTATAAACATCGGTCTATAACTCTCCATACAACAAAACAAACTATAAACATCGGTCTATAACTCTCCATACAACGAAACAAACTAACGTCCGTCAGCTGGAAAAGCCAAATAAATCCCTTGAAGTAAAGTTTTAAGAACCTTTTAAAAAATTATAATAAAGGTTTTCAATTTCTAACAAGTGAGGATAGAAAAAAAATATATCAAAACTGTGTTCGCACTTCATTGTACAATCACATAAAAACTATTCTTCGTCAGTGATGAAAATTCTGTAACTCTTCAAGTTGTTATCTTCATTTTCCTTTGCCTATTTGTTAAATACTGTAAAATCACTTACTTTGGTAGTCAAATTTTTGTGGTTTAATGATAAATATGAGTTCGAAGAGGTTTGATTTCGTGGTTGAAGTAGTTAAGTGTTGTAAAATTTTGAAAATTATCATTTCGATATGCACAGGCCTTCGTACCACGAAAACAGCAAAAATTAACACCCCATGAAAAATACGGATTTCACAGTATCTTAGGGTTCTAAAAATTGAATAAAATTGTTGTAGGAAACATGTGACCAAGAGTTCAGAAAATCGAGTAGAATTTAGTGGAGCAGGTTTCACTCCAATAAGAATTGATGATTTTGTACTTGAATCGAAATATTATCTGACGACTGGTTCAGTTATAGGTGAAAAACAAGTTAAAAAGAAAATGATTGTTTGGTAGATGATATGCAAAAATATACATAACTTTGCATATAGATTTGATTAACCAAAAAGTTTATACTCAATAATTGTATGAGATTCAGTACAAAGAACCTGAAGTTTCCATATTGCAAGAATAGCCTTTATATGAACCAATTAAAAACAGTATAGATATTCATTTATTATAAAGTAAATCTTATACGGTACCAATTTTGATGCACCAGATGTGCATTTCGACAAATTATGTCTTCGGTGATGCCCATGCCTAAACATTGTGAATACGAAATATTTAAATTTAAAAAAAATTGAAGAGCTAAAAAGAGGGCTGCCAAAGACTGGAGCCAAATACGTCGAAGGATCAGAGCTATGCAATGATTATAATAGTGACCGAGAATACTGTTCATGGATTCCAGAAAAAGTCGGATTTATTTTTTGATATTTTAAAAATATTATTTACCCAATATTGTTTTAAATGGTGGATTTTCCTAATTTGTCTACAAATCTCTATTTGACAGTTCATGATATCGTTTGAAGTGGTTAGTTATTTTATGGAACTTTCAATTAAAACTGTCATTGGAATAAAATTTCAATTTTCGCTGTTTTCGTGCCATGAAGGGATCCATAAATTCATTCCTTCCACTGAATGCTAGATTTTCAAATCATGTATATTTTTATTCAACCACAAAATCCAATCCAAATGGACCAATACTTTTGCGTCAAACCACGAAAATCTGACACCTAAAGCAGCCTGAGAATACTATAAGATCATTAACTTCAAAATGAAGGTGTCTAGCTTTTTCCTATAAATACAGGTGTGTGTATTGTTCCTAAAGACCTTAAGGTTGATGCATTGCTTCCATTAATACTTTTTTATATTTCCTTCCAATCTGTCAAATTACATAGTTCGTTCCATACTTCATCAATGATCACCCAGTTCATTGAAACATTTTTAATAGAATTTCATAGGGAATGCACAATCAATCATCACATTCATTTTATATACTTTTACATCGTTATTTTTATCCTCAAGCTTTACTCAAATTTAAATTCGCCTCTGAACATTAACTGTAAAGTCATTCACATTAAAGTAACTTTAAGATTCAAAATCTGGTGAACAAAATTAAATAATTGTGGTTATTCCGTGTTAAACGCCCGACTTTGAAAAATCGCCCTTCTTGTGACAGCTGTTTGGCTTTTATCTCATTAACATAACATTTTCTCAACGAATTCGAAACTGATTCTTTTATGTAAAAAAAAATTGTATACGTGTGCCATCTTAAAGATTAGTCTTGCTTATTTTAATGTCGAGGGATATCATAGGAGTTCTAATGAATAGTAATTAAACCACGGTAATGATTACATTAAGATTTGGGATGCAATATAATTCACTTTCTAAGATTTGATTGCACAAAACACAGGTAAGAATGGGATAGACCATTTTTCAGATTGTGTTTACTTTTTCTAGTTAATTACGTCAATTATCTGCACAAGTTTGAATCCCGCCTTTTGCGTTACCATTATTTTAGCTTTCTGCTTATCTACCTTACTTATATTCGAATGAACATAAAAACAAAAGTATTATTTATTCTTGTAATTTCACTGGTTATTATTCATGTTCAATTACGTAATTAATCTTACGGTGAACAATAGGTTCTTTCGTTTCGCTAACACTGATATTATTCAAAGACGAATATAACAAAAACATCACAGGATTTATTAAACATTGGAAAGAGGAAGACAACTTAGCAGGTACTCCTCCTTGACAGATGTTTACTTATCAGAAGTAACGAAATGATACTAAAAAGTGAAATGTACAGCGATAATGAATTGTGTAGATTTTTACGTAACAAAACTATATTCCTGATTATTTTTTTCAGATTTACTATGATTAATTCTGGGTTTAAGGCTGTTATATTTTTGGGGATTTCATTGGCAAGTACGGGTCTCGTTGCTGGTCAATTAGGTAAGGATGAATTTTTACCTAAAGTATTTTTTATGATCATTATAATATTTCATTGTTGCAATTGTGACTAAATGTAACATTTTCCTATATATTTCATATAATTATTGAAGATCTGACGAATATGAAGTTTACTTATGCACATAATTCATTTATTTATTTCCCAAACGAAAAATTCATTTCTTAATTCTCTATAAGCAATTTATAAGCAAATTGAAAACATATTTGGTATATTATGTTCGCAGATTAACTTTATCTACCACATTGACTTTATATTTTTAAATTTCGCTAAACATTATGAGAAAATATTTGTAAATTTAATATATAGACGCGTAGTTTTGAGTGAAATATGACAAATGAGGTTGGTAGACGACAAAGAAAATTAACAAATAGGACATGGTAAGGACACTAAATCACGAAGCTGACATATTTCATTTAAATATTGTCCGATCACGATCCCTTAGAAAGGTGAGGTATTATTTAACATGCTGATTTACTACTTAGCAATAATTTCTTATTTTGTAAACGAATTTCCCAATTACTATAACGAATTAATGACCTTAATGCACAGTGATACATGATATTTTATTTCATGTAAAATTCTAAATTTCATTATGTATATAATTTAGGAAAAGTGAGAAATAAGAAAATATTATGTTCAAAATTAGATGAACCAAAACATATTTCAATTTATGTACATTACGATACATTTTCCTCAAAATGAAGTGTAGTGTCTTTATAAAAGTGGCATGAGAACAAGGAGAAAATTCGGATTAAAATGAAATAACATACATCTGTTTATCCACGCAAAATTACTTGAATTTACATGTATGACTTGTAACAACAAGTAAACTTTATCAGAAACGTCTTTTGATTTCACCCAGGAGTAAAACTTGTCAAACTTCAGTTGACCACAGGGAGAAAATGACAGAAAAGAGCGCGCTTCCTTTATGTGCTTGAAGTATAATTTGGATCCCTGTTCTCTTTATCAACATGTGAATTTTTTTAATGCAGCATGTGATGTAACAGATTTTTGAATCATGCGTAATTTTCACGATATTTTGTAGGCTGTTTAGAAGAGTGCAATGGACTTGAAACTTGCTTGACTCCGGCCAATTTTACTCACTTCAGACAATGCAAATCAGTGGGAGGGGCCTGTTCTTGCGCTCCTTTGATGTGCTCATTTGGCACATGTTTTAATCCAGGGGCAGGTGTTTGCGATACAATGTCCAAAGGACTTTGTGACAACGGTAAAGTTATACCAAATAAGTTTATGTATTATTAGTTGAAGCTGAAAGAAAAAAAGAATATTTGCTTAAGCTATTATCAAAATTGTTCTACATGTTTTGTTTGTTGATTTAGATCCATGTGCCAGATTTGACATGGGCTACACCTACCCTAGTAGGTTTAACTGCCGAAGCTTCTATCAGTGTAACAGGGCTGGACGTTCTGTTCCGATGTGTTGTGCAGATGACTTCAGATACGATGACATTGCGAAAGAATGTGTACTCGATAGAAGCTGTAATATTTCATGTAGTCAACGTGAAGGCCAAGACTATTCTAGACTAAGTCAGGAGCAGCTGATGCGAACAGACCCATACGGTATAAATCCACTTCCAATTGGCAGATATCTATGGGTTTGTCCAAAAGCCCTATCGTTAAAATATCGGATAGACATTACCAATAATTCGTTAAATTTTTGTGATTTTAGAATGTGTTCTAAGAAGAGTCCCTGGGAAACCTGAAAAATATTACAACGAAGTAGCTAAACTGGAAATGAATTGTGCTGAATCAACATTTTACAATCCCGAAAAGTGTGCCTGTGACGTTATAGCTGGAGCTAACAATCTACTACGTCGAAGAGGTGACGTCAGTCTACATCGCTTATCCTAACTATATAATCATAGATTTCCCTGCACTAACATCACTGTTTTCTTGTATAGAAATTTCAATCTGTTTTAAGCCACAAAACCCTTATTTTTCTGATAGTCCATTTCTCTCTCCATCCAGGTTGTCGGCCTGTGTTAGATGTGGACTTTTCAGGGACTACAGTGGAGAATGGCGGCACTGCTTACATCAATGTAAGGAACGTTAATATAACATCATCCGGAAGACCAGGTGTCAACATTGGACAGTTCAACGGAGTTAATTCTTTCTTAGGACTACCTCAACTCAACGGTGTTGCTTTAAATAAAGTTTTCATCCGATTTAGGTTCTTTAGTTCCCCCTCCAGTGCAGGGAGCGGGGATTCTCCTGTGACGGACCAGGTTCTATTTTCTAACTGCGATGCCTCTGTAAGCACACCAGAGCAAGACATCTATAATAGATATTCCCTTGCCATAATATTGAACCAGCCGTCAAGTACTTTGTCGTTTATAGCAGAAACAGATGCAGCACAGAAAGCACTTATTCGTCTACCATTTGCGGTAATTATATTACATTTTAACTCTGCTAAAAATAATAGATTATATCATGTGACTACCTTAATAGTCTCTAGACCTTATGCGCTCGCTGGTAGGGTGTTTTTGTCATCTGTCTGTTTGCTTGTATTTTTTTAAATCCTCTTCTCCTAAGTTTTGGTCCGATCTTAATAAAACTCGACTTAAATGCAATCACTCTGATACAAAGTTCTATTTGTTTTTAAATATATTTTGATGGTCATATTATATAAATGAATAACGTAAACTTATTTCAAATCTACAACTTCAGATTTGTTCTGATATAAATAAAACTTTGAACCAAGTGTATACTTCACTTTGGTATTTTATGCTCTCTATTGGTTTTAAATTAATTGATAATTAATAAAGAATAGAACAACGTGTGATTCTTTCAAATTCTCTGCTTTTCATCTTTTTTGCCAATAAAAAAACAAAGCTGGTGTTTAACAAAAACACACACAAAACGAAAGAAAAGAAATAAAATATCAAAACAACTAAACTATTTGTTAATCCATTCTTATCTCAATATCAATTCTGAAATGATACAGGATGGCGCATGGAACAACGTGGAAATGATTTACGACGGGGAGGCACTGATTGCCCGTGTCATGTCTATCACGGCAGACGGAACTAACTTCGAAGAGACGGACACTAAGCCACTAAATGGTAGAAATGTCTCACTTTCAAACATCATTCTGAATCTTTTCATATCATTTTTTTCTTTTTATATAGTGGAAAAGTGCATTAAAATTTATTTTTAAAATGATGAAATACGTTTTTATTTGGTTTATGATATTTATTTAAGGAAATTTAATTGCTTCAAGACGTGATCCAAAGATAGGGAGTTGTAGTATAGATGACGCTTTCCTTGGCTACTTCGATTTGGTAGGTATTCTATAGCTTGTTCTTATTCAAATCAAGCAACAATAGATGTGCCAACAAACGTTCTTAATTGTATTACTCTCTAAGATGGCAGGTACTCTAAACAATGCTCATTTCCTTTAGTTCACAAACTCCAAAAATGCACGAATTTTGATAAGATTAAAAATACACGGAAATTTATATATCTATAAAATTGTTTGATAAAACTTTGGGGTCTTATTAAATTTTGAAAAAAAAAATCTTAAAATAAGTGAATGACTTCATATTGTTTTCTTTTTTCTTCCAGGTGAAGATATTTAGATGCATTCCCGTTCGACGTAACATGCCTATAGCATAAACACAAGTCTCATTAACGTGTAATCCATCATCATCATTCAAATATCCTTCTCTCGATCTATCATCCATCAAGATACCAGTATCTTGTGAATCATTTAATTATTATTGTACAGATATAGTTCATATATTTGTTTTACACAAGTTTTTAGAAAGTATGACAATTGATTCTATGTAATAAAATTGTTTACTGTATATATCTTCTTCGATATCCACCTCCATCAACGTACATGATGAAACTGTATGTATTTCAGATGTGCTCCATTATAAACATCAACTGATCAATTGTCTTCTTATCCAACTCACTTGATCTTTTTGATAGAATTAATGCAATTTTTTTTCTTTTAAGATAAAATAAGGATGTTTATGATTTCCTCGATATTCACTCTAACCAAGGGCACACTGATATGTTGTAAGATTTTAAAATTTTTAAGTATCTTTATCATCTCTTATTTAGCTCTAGCTTTAAACATTGCCTCTTTTGCAATCTTATTATAATGAGACAGTTTGTTTATGGCGTATTGAAACTGTCTTGTTTTTGAGTTCTTCGAAGATCTGGGTCAAGGTCTTGAAATCAAAATTATATGCCTTTCCGAAAGGTGTTGTCAAAGGTCAGCTCTCCACCGGCAAGTGATGGCGTCTCCATATGAGTGAACAATTCTCGAGAATGCACCTGGCTTTAATACCTTAAACCTGACATTAGAATTTTCCAAATAACAGCAATTATTCATAAACATTCATTATGCGGGTATATTAAATACTCATTGTCTGACCCGTCAAATGATGAACCACTAGCATTAAAGCATTCTATTTAATATTTTTTAAGTCCAGTATGCTATATTTTATTGATACACCAATGTTGATTCTTTATAAAAAAAAATATTGAGGAAATCATAAATTTCGTCGTCTTTTTCTAATATAATAATATTTTTTAAAAAATACAATTTTTACTTTAACACAGTTTAGTGATTTTAAATCCAATGCAAATGGAGAGTATGTGTATCTGTTATTAAACATATAACACCAATCCATCAGGGATTGTGTACCCACGAAATATTGCTACATAAATAATGGAAATGGACGAGGGAAAAGTTGAAGTCGTCTCGTTTGTCATTGTTACAGATTAGTTATTAGTTGGCCATTTCCGTTTATAGTCAGTAAAACATTCAAACACGAAACAGATGTAGCAGACCCTGTAGTGTCTTTTAGGTCGACTTCACAGGGATATATCAAGTCGACATATGAAAAAAAAGTAACTTTTCTAATTGATAAAACGTCGTCGATAATATTAAAGGTTGAATTGAAAGCCATAGCAAAAGTTTTCTTTTTCTCATGAAGACGTTTTTAATAAACTCTGCTTCATACCATAACAAGTCAGTTGATAAAAGAGCACAGTTAGTGTCTATTGGAATTCGATAAACTGTTGGAAGACCTGGTCTCCAAAGACTACATGTTTATTGACAATTTGGAGCTCCAGCATCTTTTTAATTACAACTTCAGAGTACTTGTATGTAGAATCAGAATAATTTTTACAAAGAAATATCACAATATAGGAGTATTTACGAGTTCCGTTTTTATTGAGAAAGCAGTTGTCTATGATATCAAAAATCTTGCTCTTTAGTTTGTCGTAATTATGGTTGTAAGAAGTGTAGAAAAGTCATATGTTTTGATGCTTTAGATGTTTGAAAGTTTTGAGATTTTAAATTTTTCATTTCTTAGATATAGAGTCACTTCCATTTGTACCACAAAAAAAGAAAAGCCTCACATATTGTAACAGGTTATAACTTATTAACATTGTCAAATAAACATTTCAAATTGTGCACAGATAAGTTTTGTCTGCAAGGAGATTTGAACTTCGAAACTGTGTTTAATTTCATTATTAATCATTTCTTTTTCATTGTGTCTTTCTGAAGCAATGTTGGTATTTTCTAAGGTTATTTTCTATACTCGAAAATAGACAAGGTATGGTATATGACAAGCAATGACGAGAGAACATTGATGAGTAATGACAAATACACCGGTATACAAGTGAGTGTTGAGTAATGACAACTAAATATACCGGAATACATGTAAATGTTGAGTAATGACAAAAAACAAAATGTTGAATAATGAAAACCGAACATAGAGATGTTAAACAATGACCCCTGAACACATAGATGATGATCAATAACAACATAACATATAAATATTGAGTAATAAAACTAAGCATATGCATGTTGAGCAATGACATCTGAACATATATGTTTTGAGTAGCAAAAGAGTTTTGAGACAACTGAACACGTATACATATTGAGCGATGACAACTGAACATATATATATATATATATATATATATATATATATATATATATATATATATATATATATATATATATATATATATATATATATATATATATATATATATATATGTTCAGTTGTCATCGCTGAATATATATATATATATATATAGAGAGAGAGAGAGAGAGAGAGAGAGAGAGAGAGAGAGCAATGATAACTGAACATAAAGATGTTGAGCAACGCAACTGATATTCTGAAAGTTGAGCAATGACAACTAGAAATATAGACAATGAGGAATGACACTGTTGACGTAGAGGGATGACAACTGAACATACAGATGATGAGCATGACAACTGAAAATATAGATAATGATTAATGGGCGTTCAATATATACAGATATTGAGCATGATTACTGAACATATATGTATTGAGTAATGACAGCTGAATATATACAGAAAGTGAGCAATGGCAAATGAACACATAGATGTTGAACAATGAAAACTGAATAGTAGATATGAATCTCATTATTTGATTTAAAATATCCTTGTCTTAACATAGCCCTGGTGATTTTGTTTCTGATTTGTTGGAATGCATCGTATTTCAAAATCCAGTTTTGTTGTTGTGTTTGTATGTACTTTTTTTCATTTTTTGCACAAAAATCGTTATATTGTGGTGATTTTATCTCTGTTATATTGTCCTCATTTTAAGGTGAGAAACAATGGCAGCAAATAAGTTCTGTCATTTCTCAATTTAATTGATATATGCAACATAAATGAAAATTGTCAATTAAAATTTATGCAAGTTGCGCTTAATAAGGTTGTCTTTTTAAGGACAGCATATTAGATCGTTAACATCAATTGACAAAGTGACCATTTCTGGTTTACACTAGATGCAACAAGCTCAAAAAAGCTAGCCTTTCCTGTATTTATCATTTCAGTGAATGAGAATTGTTACACAGTAGTACGAGTGTAAAGGTGAAAAAGAACATTCTATAGATATAAACAAGATAATTTAAGTACTTAAATTTGTCATACACTATATATTTTATGTTTATGAGAATAATAATCAAGTTGAGAGTACATGATAATTCTTACATCAGGTTGAATCAAATGCAAATTCAATTTACTAAAATTTACATTTGCCAATATTTCCTTTTATGAGTTATAACAAATTGGCATTCAATATCCGATGACATGCAGTTGGTCACAGTCAGACTCTCTTGCGTATAGAAAGCAAACCGTACCAGACATTTGGAAGGTCAAGACTGTGATATCACATGACATCACACATGTATGTTATGTTGCATTCCCATAACAAAGTCTAAATAGTGCATTTCTTTTATTGTAACACAAAAAAATATAAATATAAGAGGTACGTGATAAAATCTACTATAACGCCCTTCGGCCGTAATAGAATTTGATCATGTGACTAACTTCATGCCATATCCCAAAGAAACTCTAAAAATGATATCTTATTTCTTAATTTTTCAGCAAATTTGGGTCAGTCAAACTTACATCTACAAAATATATAATTTAAGACCCAAACTTCATATCATAAATTGTATTATATTACGAAAAAATATTAATTGAGACAATGTCTTCATATAAATATGAATGTTTCTATGTATCTGTATATCAAGTTACATCTATATGGGATACAAAATTCGATATATAATACATTACAATTTGGTACTTAGAATTATAAAACAAAAGTATATCTGAGACAATTTGATTTCATTTAGAGCTATGATCTGGAAACGATAGCGTGACACACAGACAGACGGAAGACGGAACAACTAGAACAGATCAGTATATTCCAATCTGACATAGGGAAAGCTTTCAGTGCCTTATAATTCATTTATTCCTTAATTTAGAGTTGATGCATGCTAGCAAGTGTGGTCTAAAAAATTGTCATACTTGCTTACTTTTCTGACCTGATTTCTTTCTGTGAAAAAAATTGATCAAAAACGTTTGCTTGATTCAAAATCTTGTTATCTAATGTGACTTTTTGATGTAGATTTTGCATTTTGGCTCAAAACGTGATAACCTGACAGCAGACTAAACTACGACGCATATCTCCATTGATAGGAGAAAAACGCTAACACGAAACCCATACTATTTAGTACAGTATGTTTTAATTGCAAGTGCCTGAATTTAAAGATGGCATTTGCGGTAAGACAGCTTGATATATGACATCTTCCAACATAATTTAATCATTTTTAATTTAGTGAACGGTAAACATGTCACTGGTGGGTGATGTTGTCATCGGCACACCCATCATCAAAATTTGCAAAAACGTAAGAAAAATACATATTTTAATTTTTTTATCTTTGATGATTTCAGAATAAAATTCAAAACCATATAGGATGTATTGATCATCATTTACAACTTACATTAACGTTTATGAAATCGTCATTATCAGTTATAAAACTTGACGTACGATTGCTTGCGGGCCAAATGACAGAGGAAATCCTTTATTACGTACATTTATGCATTTAACAATTCAACTTGTAAAAACTAAATGACAAAACGTTGGAAAATATTTACACAGTAATATAAACAAATGGGCAGGCATTTTTTGGGAGGTAAGAAATTCAATTCAATTCAAATAATTTGATTATTCATTCTATCTTTAGAAGGGGTTAATTTTAAAACAAGTTTGTTAAAATGAATACTCTTGATCAATATTATTCTAATATTTTTTTTTTTTTTTTAAAAGTTATAAGAAATATTTTGATGTTTTTCAGAAGTATCGGTGAAGACCCTTCAGTATTTCATGTGCACAATCTGTATCTCTCTGCTAAACGCTCAAGGTAGGATACAATAACTTGAAAAATGAAAATCTGTGTCAACGGTGTCAAATTTCCTTGATTTAATGACTCCATGATGAAAATGTAAAAAGGTGATTTCTTTGTCTAAAAATTTTTGGACTTCTTATCTCGTTTTTATCAAGTACAGTTTACTTTTAACTATGAATTCTGATTGGTTATTGAAGATAATTATCTTAGATGCCAAACGTACTAATATTGATCATTCAATAAGTCATTGATAAGGCGTCACAAAGAAGAACTGCAATCTCTACCCAGAGGTATCATTCCTTGTTACTCTTTTGTACCACTGTATGTTAAAGAAAACGTGCAGACTGATCAATACATGATCATCTGACCAGATATCATAAATAAATTGACCAAATAAGAACGTGGTATCAAATTCATGTCTCGTTTTCTATCATCGATTTTGCTAAAACTTGAATACCCTGTACCCTTTCAGAATTAAATACTCCACTATTACAATAATATTTCGATATATTTTGACTCGTAGACCCTGGGTTTTGTGTAAAATGTCAGTGCTATTCTGCAAGCTGTGATAAGAATGAATATGTACAATTCTTGTACTCAGATTAAAACTTTGACGAAACAAACTTCTTTCGGAGCGATTCTGGATTCGAAGTTTGTTTATAGACATCTGCAAACCAATGATCAATGCTCTTTTTCACAAGAAGCTTTGTTTCTTTGAATTCTTTGCACAATTTGTAGAACGTTGTTTTATTTTTGTTCAAACGAACACTATGTCTGTTTGATTTTATTATTCCAAGTACATTATAACTAAAAAAAACAAATCCACAATTTGTGTATCTGTGCCACAGAGTTGTCTCATTTTCTCTATGGAAATCGGAATAGAGACGGAATCATTCAACAATATTTCTCGTCCTTCATCAAAAATCTAGGAGAACCACACTGAAATGAAATAACAAGCAATCCTGTCATGCATATGTTGTTCTCGACTTCCTAAGAAGCAGGAAATGCCTGTCGTTTTCAATCGCCCCATACCCAATAACATTTTGACATCTACGTAACAGACCAATCATTCCATGAAGTTGGCCGTAATGGGTCAGGTTACGAACATCATTCCACTCCACAAGACTCTTTGAAAACTTTTCTTGCAATAACAAGACGTCGTGGTCAAGCATGTTTCTGATTGTGTCATTGACATGAAGATCTATTACTATGAAAAATGAATTACGTTTACATTTGTTTTATAATTGCTTATTTTTATGCCCCCGTATCGAAGATTCGGGGGTATGTAGTTTTTGCCCTGTCCGTCCGTCTGTCTGTCTGTTTTTCTGTTTATCTGTTTGTCCGCAAAAACTTTAACATTGCCCACAATTTTTGATTGATTGGAGCTATGCTTTTTATATTTTGCATTTGTATTCCTTGTGACAAGACCTTTCTTTGGGTACCATCATATTTGGCCCTTTGACCTTTACCTTGTAGTTTGACCCAGTTTTACAAAATTTTACCCAACTTTAACCTTGGCCATAACTTTTTAATAATTGGTGCAAGGGCTTTCATACTTCACATGTGTAATCCTTGTAACAAGACCTTCCTTTGGATACTAACAACTTTGACCCTTTGACCTTCACCTATGAGTTTGACCTACTTTTGAAAAACTTTAACCTTTTCCATGTCTTTTCAATGTTTGCTGCTAGGGCTTTCATATTTCACAGGTATATTTTTCTCGGGACAATACCTCACTTTGGATACCAACATATTTGATTTGCATTTGAGAAAGTTTAACCTTCGCTGTAAGTTGCCATACGGGGGCATCAGTGTTTCACAAACACATCTTGTTTACGCTTTGGTTTTTCCTTCGTGGTATACAGTGTAATTGACGACCAATTTAGAAATAAAGAAATGAAGCCTATCTCCCAAATATGGAGGAAAACTCCAGATACGGAAAAAGTGTTAAAGAACAACAGCCAAACGACATATCGATAATACGACATTCTTCGTTCTACCGAATATAAATATAAATATACGTGTTATAAGACAAATAAATATACGTGTAAACAATAAAATGTCTTCTTTGTAAGCAATCATTGCTGCATAACATTGCTCAGGCGCTCAATGTCTTATTATTCTAGATGCTCAAATAACTTTTATTTTTCTTTGACTACGAGAGATTCTATTTTGAAATATTTCTTATACTTACAGTTCTTTTAACATGTGAAATGTAACTAAGTATTCATTTGGTTAGTCGTAGTAACTTTTTAAAAGATATATATGTGGATACTTTACAGATCTTCCAGTGATAACTTTTTCTCAAAATCCTTATTACGTGAATCAAGGAAATGACGTCACAATTCTATGTCTTGTGGACTCTCCTAACTCTCCGATAGAGGAGGTCAATTGGATGAAGAATGGCGCACCATTACCAACAGATGACAGATACACCGTGTCCACTGGCTCGGGCAAAAGGTCCAGCGATCTGGTCATCATGAACGCTAATACCGTCGATGAGGGAACTTACACGTGCAGTGCTAAGAATGGGGTCGGTTTTGGGTCACTGGACACGCTTCTGTCAGTAACTACAAATGTCGCTACTGGTGAGTGAACAGTCCATTATATCATTCCTTAAATCAAGCAAGAACATTTAAAGGAAAACAAAGGTTATATTTTCATTCATAACATGTCGCCTCTTTGTGTTTTTTAGTCTATTCTTCTTAATAACAGAATTATTGTAAAATAAAAAAAATCAAAATTTGAGAATTTCAAATTTGAGGACGTAAAGATACCGAAATGTATTTTCATCAATGCTAACAAAATTAGAAAATAGAATACTTCAGAAATTGATGAAAAGACTGAAGATAGCGAACAATGATTAATCTCACAAATCCTTTAAGAATACGAATTGTGGAACGGGCACCAAACACAGACAACTAGAAACTCCAGAGGTAGGATCAGGTGCCTAAGAGTAGTAAGCATCCCCTGTCACTGGTCACACCCTCCGTGAGTACTCTGTACTGATCAAGTACACGGAGTAAATCATAGTCAGAATTGGTATACAATCAATGGCCTAATAATTGGTATAAAACATGTCAGTCAAAATGTCCCAACTATAAGTTGTATTTGCAGGGTCGTTTCCTGGGTCGTTTTAAAGAACAAAGAATATACGAAATGCTGAACGTAAACGCTGTAGTTGAAAGCCCATCAACATTATTTGTTAGCTGCCTGCCTTGATTTGAAAATTTATCGTGCTTAGAATATGTCTCTTGTATACGTGTACATGTAACAATCAGTTGGAAGACATAAACACTAAATGCAGGTGATAATGGAATATTTCTATATAAATAAGGAATGTTGACGATGGAAAAGTCATCACGTTTATTATGTAGTTTAGATGCTTTTTTTCATCAACGTCTTAAGTCAGTAAAACATCAAAGTAAGAAACAAATGACAGACTCTAAGGTGTCTTTTCTTCCGAGTTCACTGGTATATACATGTAAATTCATATGAATAAATATTACCGTTTTAAATTGATATTAATACTGAAATGAAGGCCACAGGAAGTGTTTTCTTCCTTTTGTTGAATATATTTTGCTTTATAAGGATATGAAAACAGATTAGCTAATTAAGGAGCACACTATATGAGTTCATTGCAATTTCAAGAAATTATTGGAAGATTTAGTCTCCAAATATTACATAGATATTGTCAATGAAGAACTCCAGCATCATTTAATTTTCACTTCAGAGCTTTTGTGTTTAGGATCAGATTGAAACAGAAGAGATAAAAAATTCCCAGATCCATATTAACAGTTTTGTTTTGCATAAATAGGTGATCCTACAGCAAATTAAATTTTAATATGAACACTGGACTTTTGCGAGAAACACTGACTTTTACATTCAGACGACTTACTTTGACATTTAAACCTACCTTATGTGCGGAGGTACGGAATTGATAAAAGATACGAAAACCTAAATAGTGGTTTATACAGATATTTTGTTTGGAGCACTTACATGATTAACTGGTATGCAACCAACGCAAGAGACGATGGGAGGCAGAATTACATAGCTTAAATTATTTAATCGTGAGGATTAGTATCTCCTTTCAATCTCATTTTCTGAAGGAATCAAATAAGGAAGAAAAAACATTCCGGAAGGAAAACTAAGCAAGAGTTGGTCAATGTGGGAAGGGAGGGGGTTGAGCGTAGGGTGGTTGCCGTTCCCTTCCTAGACAACGTAACATGTGCTTTGATATGGCCAATTATTATCGTTTAATTAACTGTTAAGCTTAATATTTATATCCCAAAAGAGCCTCCATATACTGCCCTACTGTCGATTGTTAAAGTCAGCGCTTCTCGCAAAAGTCCAGTAGGTCATTGCAGTTTTTCCAAACAGTATTAGAGAGGTGTCTTTGTGAATCAATGGTGTGTGATATCTCCGTTGGAGATATAATTTAGTCCTAACTGAGTGATTTACAGATACTTTAAAAGATAACATGTATATAAAGTTGAAATTTATCAAATATTCAAATAAATTGTCATATAGAATTTTTTTAAGAACCTTTAAAATCTATGAGTAAAAGGTGAAAATAATGAACAGTGATCAAATCTCTGTTTGGCAACAGGCAAAGCTTACAAAATAGGTAAGCTTGTCTATAGAGATCGCACAAAGAGGGTGAAGTTCCATTTCTTTACTGCAAGCTTTGTTCATTGACTCTTGGTCTTCTTTGTAGGCCAAGTTGATCCATTTGGAGGTAGTCAGTTTGATGTTTTTAGTGGAATCCAGGGAGACAGAGTTGGTAAAGTATACCTGACTATCAGTGCCATATTTATCTATGTTAATATATTCTAATGAGCCTTTTTCATCAATTACAGAGTCAGGGACAAATATCGTCAATGGGGAAAACTTTAATGTGTTTGGAGATGGTTTAGGAAATCAACTAAGTGGCATGACAGGTAAAATAGATTGATTGATTGGTTGATTGATTGTTGTTTAACGTCCCTCCCGAGAACTTTTCACTCATGTGGAGACGCCACCACTTGCCGGTGGAGGGCTACAAATTTTGACCTATACTCGGCACTCAGGGCCATTGAGCAGTGAGGGATCTTTTTCGTGCCAGCATCTACTGCGACACGGGAGGGACCTCGGTTTATACGGTCTCATCTGAAGGACCGGTCTCCGAGAGAGAGAGAGAGTGTGTGTGAGGGGGTGTGTGTGTGTGTTTTGATCTTTTTTTTTTTTTTTTTTATCTTTTATAGATATATTGCTTACCAAATCCTCGTGTAGATATAGATACATTTCCTCAAAGGAATTTTTTTAAAACTATTTTCCTTAAGTTCTATATTTTCATGTGTTTTAGGAAGTCTATCTTCTCCGGGAATCTCTTCAGTAGATAATCCTCCCTCTCAAGTAGATATTGGCAGCCCTTCCGTGAATCAGGTGACGACAGAGACCAGTTCTATAAACACGGTTAATGCCCAATCTGTATCTAATAATAGCCCCGCTGTAGATAACTCAGTAGCAGATGTCGGCACTTTAGATACAATAACCACGCCCATTGTAGAGGGCGCCACTACAAATCAATCCCCTACTACAGAAACTACAGGAACTGGAGATACAACGGTCACATCTGAATTAAATCTTGTTAAGTCGAGTGAGTATCATATCTACAAAATACTCATATTCAGATGTAGGAGATTTTATACTCAGTTTTTGTATTAGTTCTATGTAATATTGCATTGTTTTGTACCATCTGATGTCAGTTTCTTCTGATTACTTTAAATAGTCGTTGTTCAAATGAATATTACCTTAATAAACTTATTTCTCATGGTCAAAATGAAGTGTGGAGAAATTGTCGAAAGGATCCATGTTTCTTAAATACTAGTAAATGCCTTTTTAAAGTACATGTATCTACATACAGTGTATTTATAAACAGTCTCGTAATTTCTCTTACAACATTTGGCTTAGCATACAGATTATCTTGTATTGTATTGTCTTGTTTTTGTTCTATCTAAATATAATCAAGTGTAATTCTTTGAAAGAAATGTCAAATTTGTTTTGTAAATGTCTCTAACCACTACATTAACTATCAAAAAATTTCATGCATGCTTTTTTTTCTATCCTTATTTAGCACCAGACCCTGTAGTAGTTGCTGAAGAAATCCCTACCAACGTGAATTCGAATGCAAGTCCTGTTGTAGTTGCTGAAAATAAACCAACAAAATGGAATGTGAATAAGCCGGAGACTCAAGAAGCCCCAGCCCCAAGAAGAGATAGGATTATTGGTGGGATCGGAGGCGGCGGCTTTAACAGCAACAAGAATAAAGGTAAAGTTCTAGTGGCTAATTTACAACATTGATGATACTGCAGTGAGATGATATGATGAACAACAATATTTTACAATCTATTTCTTCACTATCTAGTTGTGGTTTAAAACACGTGTGTAAACTGAACTATCTTTCGCTTCTTGCGAATATTTTCTTTAAAACACAAGGCAACAAATATTTGATAGTAAAAAAAATTAACAAAATTTTATTTTCACATAATCATGTTCCAATTAAATTGGCCACGAATTAGTAAGTATAGCTTGTTGTGGGAGTTAAGGATAGTTTTGGTTATTTTAGTGAGCTCGTATGCGTCTAAATGTCGTACAAGCTTGTTTATTTGGATGTTGTACTGACTGTAGACAATAAGGGTCACCTAACAACTAAATTATATGACAAACGAGATGACTTCAGCCTTTCTATCGTAAAATTCATTTATTTACGCAAGTCCTGTAGTAGTTGTAATTTATTTATTCCACTATTACCAACATATGGTGTATATGTCTCCAACAACGATTCATGAGCATGCTCTGAGTAAGATCAATTTTTAAACCGAGACAGGCTACTGACAAATAAGTTTACGTTACAGGGATTTTCAATGACCTCGATTAAAGTCAGCATTAATACATTTTTATGGTCGTTATAATGACATTTTAGGAAATACAACCTATAAGTTGGTACTATTTTTACTGCCATTTATCATACCAATTAATAGGTCTTTGTTTTATACTAAATTTGACTACGGATAATTCCATCTACCTGATCAATACATAGGTCTCAATCGACTAAGGGTGGTTTCTTCTCTTATGCACCTGAGCCCATCCCTAGAATCTTCAGGGGGGGGGCTGTTTTTCTGCGCGTTTCACAGATTTGTATTGTTTGTAGGTTAAAGTAGATCGGTCACTGTTCGGTATCCTCACCTTTGTCATTCTTGTGCGTCTGAAACACCACTGATGCTTCGTTATTTAAGGAGGGATTCTTCTCTTAAGAAAACTTATTTCTTATATTCAAAAATCAATGAAATTTTCACAGAATCAAGAAGACAATATCACTAAGTGATGGTATCAGTTAGATTAAATCTGACCGTTTTATATTAGAGGCAAGGTCAGGTCAAGGTCAGTACCTTTTCCCTGGACATTTAGAATAAAAAATTACTGTTGCCAATCATGCGATGCCTACTTCTATTTTAATAAATTAAATGTTTTTCTTTTTGCATAAAGAAATATTACTATATAGGGTCTATAAGATGACATTACCAAATTGACATAAATAATTTAACTAAAATGGATATTGGCTAATCCGAATTTTCTCTATTTTTCTTAAAATTTTAAGATATTTTAGTTATTTTTATATGCCTCCTATATTTAAATTTTTCTTATTTTCACATATGGTAAAGTTGTCACATAAAGATACAAATTGATATAAAAACAAAAGGTTTTGACCGTTTACTAAGAGAGAAAAAACACTTTTTACGGATTTTTGGCTCAAATCTGAACTAAGATTGGAAGCTTTTAAAAGCTAACATAATTGAAGTTTGTTTGGAAAATCATATTTATTTCATATATTTCAAAACATTAGTCCCTTCTTATTAATTTAACTTACATTTAAAAATTTTCTCCAAGTCTTTGATTGTATAAAAATTATAACTAAATTCATTGTTCTATAATTATTTTGAGAGGCAGAAAAGAAGATATTTTCATACGCCGCCATTCCGCCAAAAATATAGTCCCTGCTAGATTTCAAATTCAGTTTACCATTTCTATTTAAAGTTGTACAATTGTGATGAGGAAAGAAAAATATGATCTTTTAAATCTCTTACATCTAAATATATAAAACATATAAGCAAATATACTTTGAATATTTCATCTAGTCAGAAACCAGACAAGAATCCCTCCTTAAGTGGGTTCTTGTGCGTCTGAATGTCGTACTGACACTGATGTTTGTTTATTTTAGTGGGTTCTTGTGCGTCTGAATGTCGTATTGACAATGATGCTTGTTTGTTTTAGTGGGTTCTTGTGCGTCTGAATGTCATACTGACACTGATGTTTGTTTATTTTAGTGGGTTCTTGTGCGTCTGAATGTCGTATTGTCACTTATGCTTGTTTGTTTTAGTGGGTTCTTGTGCGTCTGAATGTCGTACTGACACTGATGTTTGTTTATTTTAGTGGGTTCTTGTGCGTCTGAATGTCGTACAAACACTGATGCCTGTTATCGACCTGTCAACTGTACCCACTACGAGACTTGCTTTGCACAAAGAGGTAGTCTTTGTGAATGTACAAAGATTCGATGTGCATTTGGTACGTTCTGGAAACCACAAATCAACAACTGTGCCGCTGTGACTACTGTGCAATGTGAATCAGGTATTCTCCATCTTTTCAATTCTTTATTCTGCTATGGAACAAATCTTGCAGGAAATTATATTTGTGTAAACTCTTGAATTGACATAATTATTATGCATATATAATATGTATTTTAGAAAACAAAAGTTATTTTTAAGCTCATTTCAGATATTAACAACAGAAAAACGACTGAAAATGAAAACTAGAGCCTAACCATTTGTCACTATTTTTAAATCAGATCCTTGTCTGAAAATGAAGCCTACAGAAACCTACTCTAGTGGTATTAACTGTAGGAGTTACTACAGCTGTACCTGGCAGAATACATCTCTACCACAATGCTGCGATAAAGGCTTTGCTTATGATGAGACGATGGGGAGGTGTGTACCTGATGAAAACTGTATTATACCATGCTCAGTGGAGTCCACTAACTTTGACAAACAGCAAGCAACAACAAAAGCACCGAAATACGGTAACTGCTCTGTATTGTTTCATGCTTAAATATTTTCGTTCGATTCACATGTAAGAACTGTTAAAGTGAACTACCAAAAACTTGCATCTTATTTTATCCCATATTTACCCCCTTTATCCCGTGGATATGACTCATTGGATATTTTTTTCATAATCCACAGTTAAGTGCAGTTGTGACGTCACAATGGTTTTTGCGTTAGAGTGATGAAGTAAAATAAAGTGGAGTCCTATATAAAACAGTGTAAAACATTGGTTGTGAAGTATTAAACATGGGATAAAAAGAATCTCCCATGATTTGTAGTTGGATACGACTTTTATCCAACTCGTTGTGTGTTTTTATCCCCTCGCCAAGGCTCGGGGATAAAAAACACACAACTCGTTGGATAAAAATCATATCCAACTACAAATCATTGGAGATCCTATATTTACTTTATACTTTCATAATATTATTACTGAACCACGACATTTCAAATTTACTGACACTTCATTGAATATGTTTTGTAGCATAAAAGTAAATTCTAAGTTTTGTGCAAAAAATGCATCATCTTTTTATCGTTAGAGTGCTTCTTCCGTCCAGTAAAAGGCAAACCGACAAAATATTGGAATGAGGGGGCAAATCAAGAACAGGACTGTGCCCCTCCCCTTGTCTACAGACCTGATATTTGCGTGTGTGGTAATCCTCTTAAAACTTCTGACCAAGCTCCATTGGCTATCAAACCACCAAAAAAGAGTAAGTTCATGAAAGGCAAATAACTTCTGTTTTAAAAATAAACCTGTATTAATTCAGGAACTGGTTTATTATGTGTTAATATTGATATTAAGACGTAGTACATGTATACAAACTAGAACGTTGATAAAGAGATATTACTTGACTCATAATCATGCATCACTTTTCTCCAGACTTACATATATAGAGACATTTCTGTTACTTTATACTTAGAGTATGGAATATGTTTGTACATGTACTTCTTTTTTAGAATGCGATCCCGTAGTTCTCGTAGATTTTACTGGTAACTCCATTGTGAACAAGTCTCCAAGTCGAATTTGGATAGATCCAACATATACACAAATCACGAGATCAAAAAAGGGGGCTCAATACGGTCGTTTTAATGGAATTTCACGAATAGCCGTTCCATATTTGTCAGGGAAATCACTTGCTAACTTGGTTGTGCGCCTTAGGTTTTTCACTACAAGTTCTTCCGGACCAGATTCTCAAGTGTTGCTCTCTAACTGTGAGACAAAGACTGTCAGATGGAATTCCCCGGAAATAAACAAGGACCTCTCCCCTTCTATAGCCATTATTCTGAATCGTAAGATGAACAAACTGATATTTTTAGGTTCAACAGAAGACAGGGCATCTGAACAAGTGCTAATGCTTTTACCTTTTGTGGTAAGTATTGAACATGAAACTAAAATTTTCAATTCCAAGGTATGTAAACCAACAATCAATCAAAAAATTAAATAAAGCCATGTATTAAATCAAAACTGGAAGTAAAACTTACAAGTGTTACCTGAAATAAAACTTTAGTAAAGCGTGATTATTGGTTTGCGACTAAAGAGCGACCAAAAACTGGCTGCCAGCTAGAAAGAGCAAGAGCCACGAACCATCAAAAATGGCCCTGTCTTAAAAATTAACGGGTTTTTGTCAATTGATAGTGAAGACCTTTAGCTTTGCATTGTCGTTTTTCTTTTTTCGAAAATCGATTATATTTTTTTGAAAAAGAGAGTTTGAAGTATGGTGGTGTTTTAAAAGAAAAATGCTACTAGAACGTCATTTTCTGTAACGTAACGTCGTAGGGCGGAAAAATTGCCTTGATCGATTTTGCATGTATGAATATGTGACTTTGAATAAAAACTAGTATTAATAATATAATATACATCATAATTGATTTAAGACAATTAAAAGCATTTGGAACTTTACTTTACATTGCCTTCTTTATGATAACCTCGTGTTTAACTGATTGAATTATATAGATACATGTAGTTAAAACTAGAGGTACTGTGAGCAATGAGCTCACAAAATGATACCCCGCCTATCATATGTTTATAATGGCAAAGTCCATGTTTTGCTATGGGAGACCCGAAATATGTGTCTGATCAAAAGTGAAATAGGAGATGCACAATGGCGCTATGTAAAAAAGATTCTGTGAAAGTATCATTAAATCTTTAATTTATTCAGGCGTATTAGAGGAGTTGCGGATAAGAGATGGGTACCCCTAAATATTCTGGAAAGAATGGCAGTGTCTATGTTTTGCAATTGGAAAACCGAAATATGTGTCCGATCAAAAAATGAAATAGGAGGTGCACAATGGCACTATGTAACAAAGAATCGGCGAAAGTATCATTAAATTTTATTGAGTGGTATAGGAGGAGTTGCGGATAAGAGATGTGTACCCCAAACCGTAATGGACGGACGTACAGACGGACGGACGGACGGACACCCCCATCGCTATATATCCCCACTTTTCAAGCGGGAGTATAATAATCTGTGTGACTGTCTTGGAATATTTTCATTCTATCTGGTTCCTATGATAATATTTAAAAAAAACATTCTGTTTATATCCCTTCAACACATTTTTGAGCGATGCTTCGCTCCTAGTTAAGTATTGAGTATTGATCATCATAAACAATATACGACATGCTTCAAATGCCGATAGTCTGTCTAACTTTGTTTTCCGGATTTTTCCCTACAGGCCTGCAGATATTAAGCTGATCTTTGGCATGTGCGTCCAGGCTCGTAGTATCGTTTTTCAAAGTTGGGAAGGGACAGTCAGGAAAAAATAATTGACAACATAACTAAAACACTTGAAGAAAAGATTTTATTAAATTTTGATTTTTAAAAGTTGACAAAGATTTTGTGTAAAATCCTTTCCGTGTCCTAATGACAGTTCAATATTTTTTTTATTCCCCTACCTTAAGATTCTAAATACAGTGAATGTATAAATTGATTCAGTGGCTTCGTAGTCAAAGTTCACAATGTTCTCTCAAATTATCAGTGCATGGACAATTAATGTCATAATTATTACAAGGCTGAGTATATAAAGAAAGAAGTTGGGACACTATTTTGGAGAATATATACCGTATAACGGGTATTTTCTGCGGTTGGAAATTTTTGCGATTTAACCCCTAAAAGATAGCAAATTAATTTCTGCGTTTTCAATTTCTGCGGTTGCATTATACCGCAAAAAATATATATACTGGGTATGGTCACCAAACTCTAAGAATTATCAGATAGCTGCCATGTTTACGTTTTATTAATTCATTGAGACATATTGATCAAAGGTGCATGAGAACTGGTATTAAGCTATTTAGCTTAATTAAACTACTATCTTTTAGTTAGTCTTTGTACAGTTATGTCAAGTCCCAATTGAAATGAATTATTACAGTATCAGTCCACCCAAACAACAATAAAAATCTTTATTCTACATTAAATTGTAACAAATGTTTTATGCGATCTATTAAAATATTTAAATATATAGATAATTAATGCATCCAAGCCATATTCTAAACATACACTTATAGTTAATTGCCATCAAAATTAACCTGGTGTTTATATTTTAAGCTCAAACAAACAGTTGCATAATCAAGTAACCTAAAGTTGACCGTATACAATCACAGGTGCCATGTGCAATGAGGCGTAACTAATCCTGTCAGTCGTCTGCGTTGAGTGAAATTCACGAGACAATCAAGCCACATTGTGTATACAAGCAGTAATTATGGTCTCAAGATAAAACACAAGATTGAAAAAAAGTGTTAAAGAAAGAAAGAAAAGCTAATATGTGTTGTTTGCAGCTATCGGAGTTTGGACGAATAATTGCGAAATCTCCTTTAGTCTTTTACATGTAGGCCTACAGTCATGCATATCCATATAAAATAAAGAAATAGGTACAAGAAAAGATCTTTTGTATAAAATCATTAAATTGATATTATTTACAGGAACGTTTTGATTCAATATGTTTTGGACAAATCCTGAGTGACATCTAAAATCTTCGACTTTCGATGACACCCGAATATTCTCGCTAACGAGGACGTGTCAACTCATGAGTCTGCGGACGCATCGTTTTTAAGAACCTTGCGTCCCAAATAATTTTGCTGCGTCCAGTACGCAGCTTCTTGCGTTAATGAAATCCTGTGACATACGCACAACTTATCATACTTGCATGTATAATATATATATCTGAAGAAATATTGAAAAATATTTTGCGATTGTAATTTTTGCGGATTTGTCCTATCCGCAAAATTCCGCAAAAATTGGACAACCGCAGAAAATACCCGTTATACGGTATGATATTTATAGTTTTTTGCTCTCTCCATCAAAATGAATCCTACTGTGTTAAAAAGGCGAGAGATGTAGAGAACGTGACATACTCGATTTCTTTTTGCATCCAAGAATTTATGTAAAAATGTATTATCAATAAGATTACCTAGTTGCCTTACAAGTGCATTATAGGTCTACTACAGTAACAATTGTATTGCCTTGTAAAACAGACTGCCAGCTGGGTTATTCGGATCTGTAGAAACATTGTGACATGCCACGGCAATATTCCAAACTATAATTTCAAAATTCCTATTATCTATATAACATAGTTACATAGAAATTTTAATGTCTAATGGATGGACTCTCGCGGTCAAGAGCTCTTCACAATGTCAAGGTTGCGAGAAGAAAGATATGAAATAGTGTTTGAGCAGTAAATTATTAAATAAGAACAGCGAGGAACCAAATTTTATAATATAAAGGTTGTTTATGTCTGTAAGAGAGTTTTTGGAAATGATCATAATACTGTCGTGACTGTCAAAACTGTACGCACGATATACTTGTACTTTCAAACTGATTTGAAGAAATTACATCATCTTCTATAGAAAAAGACCTGGAATAATGTTGAGGTCTTCTTTGACGGCTCAGAGTTATCAGCAAGAGTAAGAGTAGCGACTCCAGAAAAACAAGCTCTAGAGTTTAAAAATTCAACAGCACTTACAGGTAAGCTTAAAAAAAGCAAAACATGCAATGTAAATCGAAGTACTCTGTGTTTCAAATGACATTTTAATTACCGGTATTTATGTGATTCAAGAAAATACTATATTGCGAAACTTTTAGAAGTTCGCACTTGGTGTTCCCTACTGTTTGGATTTATATTTTTTTTTATATTTATACGTATCCACTTAGGCCGACTTACCCCTGCCCAGAAAGCTATGCAGATCGGTCGCTGTAATGAACAAGACGGATTCTTCGGCTTTATAGACATGGTATGATATTTGTAAGATTTTATAAAGAACTTTTCGTATTACAACTCTCATATTCAAGATTGATAATTTTTATAACAAGCAAGCTATTTTTGGGTAGAGGCATTAAGTTTTTAATGATTTTTGTTTTACATTTCAGATCAAGATTTTTGATTGCATCCCCTGAAAGTATTCAATTGACAACCTTTATATTTGTTTTGTACATATAAATACTGTTTTTTTTTTGTTTTTGTTTTTTTTTTCATCGTACAGTGTTGTAGAGCTAACATACAATTGTTAGCATGTATCAATTGAATTATGACATTTCTTTTCATCGATCAATTATTCAGACATAGGCTGTTTGTGATTATATACGTGTCTTAGGTTACCTCTACGTGTGCCGTTTTTTTAATACAATCAGCATATAATTTTCTGATTCTTCACCATTACATTGTGATATATGACAAAACCGATCATTGCTTGAGTCATATATAAGGTATAATCTTTACGTTCAGGACAGGAAGACGGCTGTAAGATAATATATTTATTTCTACAGCAATTGATCATTTTTAACAGTGAACCCTTTTGTTTTACTTTAATTGTAAGTTCAAGCTACATGTGCTTGGATAATGATTTCTTCTATTGATTTAAAATACAAAACAATATTTATCTCTTTGATTAGTATTGAATTGAAGCAGTAAAAGGATTCATCCCTGTGGCTTTGGTTTCTTTTATCCTAGAACTCATTTAAGGTGAAGTAAGTTTTACTGGTCGAAAGTTGTCCGTCTTTCTGTGAATAGATTCTATAGTCTGTTATCTTTTCTTATCATCAAAATTCCTTGTGGAAAGGAAATGCAATTGTCTCTATTGGAAGGGTCATTTTTCAAATGGAGTCAAATAGTAAAAGCAAATGCTATGAAAATATTTATCATTTAGTAATCTTTAAATCTTCTCGATAATCATTAGTCCAAAAAGAATATAAAAAACTTATGTTCAGGCTCCTTTATTAATTGTACAAACATGTTGAATTATAATCAATAGTCATCAGTAAATAAGATATATGCAAAAACGATTACTACTCTTATTTTCTTGATGACTACTGCTTATCTATACCAAGATGGCAGTTTTTCTTTTATTTTTAAAATTATCAAAGATATCTGAATAATAACTATCCTAGAATTAGAACAGGGTGTATTTGCATTCCGTTGATCAGATATATGACCTGCGAATATATTCTTGTCAGATAAACTAAGCGCTTCATCTAGGTCTCGAGTCCTTCTTTCATTAAATATATTGACATCATATCGAGTGATTAACAGTAAACATACAAATATATAACACATAATTAAAAAAGCCGCAAAATGAGAACAAATTATTTGTGTTGACCATTTTTATACCAAAGTATCAATTTACTGACATATAATGTCTCCGATAATTTAAGAACACTTTTGATATGCCTAATAAATTTTTGGACAGTAAAAGGGAATTAACTCTAAATCTTTACAAGATAAAGACAAAAACAATCTAACTTCTATTGTAGAACAATTAAAATATCTTTACATACGCATTTATCAAGAAAAGTATTACTTTGTGATTTTCATTGGTATATAATCAAGTAAATATAGAAGTTGAATTCACAAAGTAAATTTTACAGGGGCTTTTTATTGCCTGAATTAAATTCGTATAGTGATAAAATTGTTCTTACTGAACCCCTTTTCTTGTCATTTGTTAATGATTTAGTAACACAGCTTGAAACTGCTTGAAATGATTGCTCTGCAGGAGTTATAGATTTTCGTAATTTTTATATTTCATATATATTTATTACATATTTCATATATATATATATATATATATATATATATATATATATATATATATATATATATATATATATATATATATATATATATATATATATATTAAACTCTAGACCTGTGGAACCTGTCTCCCAGCCAGCCAGCAGCAGACCGTACTAGAGCCCATGTTTTTCTGAAGCTAGAACAGAAACTTGCTTTCTTTTAAAGAAACAGAGGTCAAGCCTTTTTAACCCCCTGACCCCATAAAATAATACTCGTCGAACTCTTCATCAGGATAACCCATTTGCCAATATGACAATATGAATTAGTTCAACTAATTCATTTTATAATATTTACACTAAAACAAAAGCTTTTTTATCAAAAGACTTCATAACCTTGAAATCCAAAATCCATCCCCAATAAAGTTTTTGATCGTTACAATCCATGATACAAATAAAAACATTCAAGTCCAATAGTTCTTGCACTAAAATCAAAACTTCTCTACCCTCACGATAGGTCAGTCGGTAGAGCGCTCGCTCCGTGATCGGAAGGTCGTGAGTTCGCATCTCGGCTGCGACTGACCTAAGTCGATGAAAAAATAGGTAGCAACTGTTCATTCGCCAAGCGCTCGGCACTTTGAAGTGAAAGTTGCGGGTCATTCGGATGAGACTTAAAAAACGATGTACCAGTCCCTTTCACCTATTACAAAATGTTAGTTGAAATCATCTTTAGACCAACCTATGCCAATATAAAACATTTGAATCCGAATAGTTCGGAAGATATATAGTACACACACCTAAGGTATCTTCCTAACAGAAAAAAAGTCCCTAGCCTCATAGTCGGCTCCCCCCCCCCCCTTCAAGTTATTTCTTATACCTTGATCACACCTTACCATGTCAAATAATAAATTGACCCAATTTGAATTGTAAAGATTGGTCAGCAAACAAAAATTCTCTAATTTTTGAAACAGAAACAATCCAAAATGGTCATAGTATAGACTTCCTAGTGTATCGTTATATCATACACACACATGACAGCAAATTCATTATATCATATACACACATGACAGCAAATTCATTATTTCAATGCAATCTCAAACGATGTTTATTGGACAAACCCATGGTGGAAATGTGAGCGTACCCCAGGAAACAAATTTGAAGAGTTGCCAAAATGTTCCTTTCAATAACAGGTGCATAGAATTAAGACATGAAAGATAAAGGCAATAAAGAATGACATCAATAAAGCATTTAAAAATAAAAGTTTAACAGCAAGGAAAATCTAATACAGTCAGTCTTAATTTGTTCTTAAACACAATTTAAATATTTCATAAAAAACAATTAAGGTTATGTCAAGTCATCAACTTTGTGTAGGATCACCTTGACAAATGACCCAAAACATACTGCTCTAGGTTGAATCAATGAACAAAGGTGATACCACTTTACTTGATATTATGCCTATTTTATATTTTCCTTATAGCATTTTTCTAATTATCAACAATATTTGATTGAAGCTAAAGAATTAAATAGTCAAGTAATTATTGTATCAAAATACTAAGGTCAAACAATCCATCAGTCATCGCATTTCAAATATACAAACCTATACCCAAACAAACAAGTTTAGCATCTCTGATTTTCTGATTTTTTTAAAATAAAAAATATTGAATATCCTGTGAATTCAAATGCAATAAATATCGAAAATGAATATTAATTTTTGTTTAAAATTACCCACACTCTTTCACGGTTAACAGATTTAGGGACGTTGGTGAGTAGAATGCGCAAAAACGATTTTCTTAGGTAAACGTGTTTTCTATGCGGGATTTTAAAAAAAGCTTTTGCATTTGAATCAGCATGAGTTAACAGGAAAAAAACACTCATCGTGCACCAACAAAAGACTACTTATATTGGTGAATGTCGGCATGAGGGTTTTTAATGATGCTCGTTAATGTAATGCCCAATGAAACTGGAGTATACTGCTTTTGGTAAGTCACTATGAGGAAACTTGTTCAGTTAAAGATCTCCCACGAATTTATTTGACCTCATGGAGAACAAAGAAACTGACGGTAATATATATAGGGACTTTTCATATACCTTGGATCAGAATACGAAAGTTTGCTGCTCGCAAACTTCATTGGTGATAATTCACAGACAGCAGCAGAGTTCGAGCTTTGTCTAAAACAATCGGCAATTGCCTCTGAATTACACATGGGGGAAGGACTAGAAACAAATTATCTTTTAACAAAGCTGGGAATAATCCACATTGCTCAAAATACAATACAAAATAACATTATTGTGTTTCAATCAAAAAAAAATCTTATTAATCATTCAAAATAAGATTCTGTATTTTTTTTTTCTGGTTTTGAATCGATCACTTCAGAATTGAATAAGACATATTTGAAAGTTGCTAAACTTTTTTGACATTGTATATTTTTAAATGTATTTCTATTTCAAAATTTAATGTGTTTTCCTGATTCATTAGCTGCAAGTCGTGTACTTTTCAAGGCATCCATTTTTGTAATTCCAAATTGAAAAGCAGGATAATCAAAAAAATGAACCCAAGTTATTCTTACATGTAATTTAAAGTTGACGGAAATCAAAAATATTTTTCATCGAAAACTTTTACTTCCTGATGTAGTTAAACCAGAGTCTCTGTGTTAGTGCCACCAGTTTGTTCATCGATGTTCTACCCGAAAATTTAAAATCATGTTTAAAAAATTATATTATATGCACACATGTATTCATATATGTTATGCAAAGTAGGTCTGTAAATCTTTTAGTTCTACTTCCAAAAGCTTTTCACGTAAACTTCAGATGGAACCATTAATTGAGCAAATCTTTAGGACTCTCTGTATACTGCACATTAAAGGGTGTCAATTCCATGGTAATTTAGACAGCTTAAGAGACCTGCTTTTTTATTTAAAATTAAATAGGCTGAAGTCTATTGTTTAAAACACAGTTTGTAAACAATTGAAGTACTCTCAGCATTATATGAGCAAAAAATCAATTCACTAAAAATGTACTTGTTTTCATGAGTCTTTCCTATTTAATTAATGTAGTTCGATTCTCAGGTTCAGAAAATCAGCAGTTAAGTTATTGAAAATGCTTAAAAAAATAGCTTTGAATTCACAAAGAAACGTGTGTTTACCCATCATATTTCTTCAAAGTTCATCATTATAGTTAATCATATCATTTAGGGAAAATTATCAAATCTCAAATATATTTTCGGGAAAAAAAAGAACCAGATATGCATTTTGTAATTGAAAATTGATCAAAACAATAGGTATCCAGGCATTTAGAGAAAAATGCATGTTTTAATACTTACTTGGTATTTTAGTTTCAATTTCATATCATGCTTTTAAGCAATGGTAGGCTAGATTAAAAGAAATTCGATTTTTCTAAAAATGAATTTATTTTTGTATTCTTATGGGGTACAAATGTCAACTTTTTACAAGAC